ATAGAGCTCGAATCCATCCCTTTTCTTAAAGAGCTCATTTATCAAAACAGTCTAAGTATACTGATTAGCAACCAAACATATCTCTTCCATTTTATAGAACAATTCCTTTGGCTTTTCAACTTCACCATCCTTACAACACCCATCAATCAACATAGTATATAATACAACATTTGGACTTTAACCTATGCTAGACATTTGATCCAAAACCTTTAATCTACTCATTAAAACGAAATTCTAAGAAAACTTAGAAAAAGCACGACTAACCAAATAGATGAAAGGCGCCGACGGTCGGTGGTGGAAGGCGGCGAGACCTCGAGATATGAGAGACCTTCTTTACCTTCTTCTTCTGCCGATGGACGGCATCCAGGTGAGAGTCTCGGAGTCGAGAGTAAGATTGTTTAGAGAATTCAAGTCCCAGATTCTGTGGTGTTAGTCTTCAAGTTTAGATTTGCCGATTTGGGATCTCTGAGAGATGATATTGGATTCAATGGATTTCAATATTGGATTTGGAAGGTCTTTTCTGATTCAGGGGCTTCCTCTTTTGATTTGGATTTTAAATACAAGTTTGGCAAGTAATTAATATGGTAATATAATTTTATTTTAGTTTGATGGGTATTAATCAAAGATAATATTTTTTAGGGCAATCAGCCTAATTTTCTCTTTCAATTTTTTACATTTTCACATATATTTTCATGTTTTATTATAGAAAACATCATTTTCATTAATTTTTATTCAATTTCTCAATTAAAAATTATAAAATGACAAATATATCATCCTATTTAAATAAAAATAACTAAATAACAGATTGCAATTATACTCTCAATTTTTTAAAAAAAGTACAGATGAATCTCAAATAAATTAAATTTAAAAATCAAAAGAGAAAAAAACTCATCTTCTTCTTTCCCGCTCTCCCACCATCCCCGAAAAGCCACCCGCCACCACCGTCTTCGTAGCCAAAAATGAAATCAAGAAAATAAACTGTTGAAAAAACACACAAGTACAATCAAACCGGAAAAAGCATAAGCACGAGATTGTGATGTTTCGGCAAAGGGAGATCAAGTAAAAAGAAAAGAAATGAAAAGAAAAGAAAAACGCAGCACCATCAGATCTCGTACGGCTGAGCGACCACCGCGCATGGCTCTATACAGCGGATCCAGTCAACGTCACGGTGCTTCGCCGGAGTGAGTGGGTGGGTCCGCTTCGTAAATACCGCCGCAAACTAGAGTTGATTCGCACTCCTTTTGGCCGACGAAATAGATTGAGGGTGGTGCCAGCTGTGTGGTGGCAACAGTGAGAGAGAGAGCGGAGAGAAAATGGGGCGACGGGGATAGAGAGAGGAGAAAAAGTGGGAAAGATGAAATAATTATGGTTTGGGTAAATGAAATAGATATATTAATATTTGGGATTTGAAATAAAAAGTAAAATATCTGAAATTTGAAATTGAATCATGAAAATACTGGTTTTTTGTAATTCCCACATTTTATTTTCTCATCTTCTTGTTGAGAACTTATCCTAGCTGAAAAGGCCATAAACCCATCATTCAGCCAATGTTGTTACCAGAGTTGCCCTGGTTTGGCCTCATTATTCCCTATTAAAGTATAATTCATTTATTTTTCTCTTGTTATCAACCACATATTTTTCAATAAATAATATTACACATAAATTGAAAAAAAAAAAAAAAATCTTTTTTTAAAACCATGTATAATATTCAAATAGTTACTATTTCTCTTATTATAGCGTGAAACAATGGGGACAAACGGGCGCATGCAATAAATCTGATAAAATTTAGTAATTTTAATTTTTTTTTATTCATTTTCAAACAGTAAATAATCACACGCCCAAAAAAACTAGTACGCATCTAATTAACCCCCGATTTATCGGGACCACCGTTTAGGATTGTCATTTGAATGAAAATTTTATTTTATTTTTTCTTTTTTAAGGTAATTTTTTTCCCAAAATTTTCAAACTTTTCTCATAAGAGAATGATGGACTAAAATATAAATTATTGAATAAAGTTAATGGTACATAATTGAGTTACACAATAATTTATATACAAATGAGGTGTCATTTTTTTTATTTGGTTGAAAAAATTTTGACACAATCATATCTTATAACATTATGTGAATTTAAATCATTATATAAATCATTATATACATGTAGTACAAGCGTAAATTGTCATATGCTGGATATTCTGAATTTTGAAAGAATTTTGTTATTTGTACAATCATCGAGGACAATTTTGCTGAGAACGTAGTGTGCTGGAATAAAGTTGGCTACAAAAATAACATTTTTGTTAAAACTGTCCAATAATATAATGTCACGTGTCATTATGCAAACAAAGTTGTACGCCGAGTATGACTTATTTTGGAAAACCATATTTTTTGAATGAAATAGTTTCATGTTCAGTGCTTATTTGGTAAAGTTTTTATTTGCTAAAAATTGGTCGAACTTCATTTTTCATCACATACTTCATAGTATCGATCAACTTTTATCAATTTTTAACAACACCACCCCTCTCATCAATGATGGAATTCAATCAGAATTGAAAATGGTATGTAAAATTTCTAATTGAATTTTCATACTTTGTTTTAGTGACAGCAAAGGTGTTGATTCATTGATACATTTTATTGTTAT